GGCACCGGCCTGCGTGCCAGGGCCGGGGAAGACGCTATCCCAACAGCCCCCAGCCCAGCGGCCAGCTGCAAGTGACACCGCGGGTGGGGCGTCCCGGGCGCGATCTAGCGGATCTCCCTCTGTTTCGGTGGGCGGACACGCCCCCAAATTCTGGGGTTTGGACCCTTCTTTCCAATCGGAGAAGAATGCAAGGCCCCCCCCCCGCCCAGTTCTGGGGCTCCCCTTGGCGGGCTCCAGCCTCAGCTCCCGCTGGAGGCCGGGGTAACTGGAGCTGCAGGGCGAGCTGGGAGCCCTCAGCGGAGTCCAGAAGAGGTGGGGATGGGGGTTCTCCTTTCTGCGGTCCTCCCTGTGCCCCCTCCAGGGTCTCCCGACGCATCTTCACCCCGGAGTCTGCGCCGCGACACTTACCGTGGGCGAGCAGCGCCGAGAGGCAGAGCAGGGCGGCGCCACCGCGGCCCGACATCTCTGGGACCATGGTGGGGTGGTAGCGGAGGGGTCCGAGGGGGCAACAGTCGACGACTTGGCCCCAGGCTAGACTTGGTCACATCCAGCTCAGCGTGGCCGTGGCGCCAGCAGTCTCGGCCGAAGCTTCGGGGGCCCGGGAGCGCAATTCGGGGACACTTTGTGGGGAGGGGGCGTCCCGGGCGCCGCGGGCTACACCCTCAGAGCTGGTGGGGGCGCAGCTCCGGGCGGGAGGAGCCTCCACCTCCCTGGGCTGGTGCCCCCTGCAGGATCTGTGAGGCGAGGGGGGAGCCGCACGTGCGGTCCCGGGGCCCAGTCGCTGGAGTCCCGGGAGCTGCCTAGAGCTAAGCGCCGGATAGTCTGGCTCTGTGGCCCAGCTTGAATCCGAACTCGCTCAGGGGTGCAGGTTTCCAACTCAAACCCCAATTTCTGTGGTTTCGGCGGTAACCCCACATGGAGAGCGCAGCTTTTCTCCTCCAAGAACCCTGCGGCAGCCCCGACATAAAAATCCCAGGCCAGGTGCAAATGAATGATTTCTTTCGCAAAGAAAGAGAAATCCCAGGCAACTTTAATCCATCCGGAGAAGGAAAAGTTTCCGTGCAGTGCTGAGACGAGCGAAGCGGGTCGCCACCACCGTAGGCGACGCCCGGTTGGAAAGCTCGAGGTGGACTTCCAGATGTCTGTGCCCTCGCAGAGCTCGCTCTTGGACTCCAGCGCTCTCGCTCATCTCTACCAGGGCCCGCGCTCAGCACTGGCCGGCTCCGCGCCTCCTGGCCCGGCAGCAGCTCCGTGGCTGGCGCGAGGGTGGAGAGGCTGAAACCGGTTGCCCCATCGAGACGGGGTTGGAAAAAGGAGGGAGAGGGAAAACCAGCTAATGCGCCTTGACCTGGGCCCTTCCTGCTCCCAGCGTCGACTCCAGCCTCCTACCCAATGCTGCAGGATGGAGAGGGGCTCGGCCAGCCACAGCTCCGGGCCACCCCTCTTTTCTCTCAGGTCTCACGGTCTCAGCAGAGGGACACGCTGCCCGGCCTCGCTCCTCGCCTTCCTTGGGGGGACCTGCACAAACCTTGAACTTTTCCGGGTTCAGCGTCTCCGACGCCTCCTCCTCCCTGCGCCCCCACCCCTGCCCCTGGACGCCGGCTCCTCCACCGTCGCGGTGGGTGCGGCCAGACATCGGTTCTCGCTCTCTCCGAGTCAGTTTGGGCAAGCGGATCGCAGGGCCAGTCCAGGATGCGGGTGGTGAGGGGAGGGCGAGGACCCTGGGGCCAGGGCACCCAGCACCTGCGCAGCCCCCGGCTGGGGAGGCTGCAGCTGGTGCCTACCGGGCGGAGTGGAGAGGAGATGCCGGCAGGGGCGCCGGCTCTCCATCGACATGTGTGGGGGTAGAAAAATCAAGGAGCAAAAAGGAAGAGGAGGCGTGGGGAGGGCACAGTTGCACGAAGCAGTCGCCGCCGCCGCCGCCTCCTCGGCGCTCGCGCCGGCTGCTCCGCCGTAAATGACTCGAGAGAGACACACATTCGCATTCACTGCCCTCCTCTCGGGTCCCGGATTCAGCGCCCACCAGGGCAGGAGCGGGCGCCGAGCTTGGCGCGCTAGTCCCCTCTCTCTCCCCCTCTCCCTCCCCTCCCAGATTCCCCGTGGTCACGTGGCCCCAGAGCTAGCAGCCCACGGCTCGCCCGCCACAGAGACTCCCCCCGCCCCCAGCTCCCCCTAGTCTGTCCACGTGTCCATTCCGCATTCCCAGCCTGGGGGCGCGCGCGGCTCCTTAATGAGACTCGGGCAGGGGCAGACCTCGCGGTTCAGTTCTCTGTTTTACGTTTTATTTTTCCTTCCCAATGCAAGCTAGAGCTGGGATCGAGTGGGGCTTGCGGCCTCTGCGTTTCTCCCGGGTAGATGCCACCGCAGTCGCTGATGTCCCTTTTCAAAGGATGCAAGCTCCCCGCCGGCGCCGGAGGTGTTCTGCAGCTGTTCTGCCAGAGGCGCGGGTAGGGGGCACCCTACCCCCACCCCATAGTCTGCTTGGGGCTTTCCAGGGACCCAGGGTGGGGCTTTCCAGGGACCCAGGGTGGGAATCAGCCTAGCTACTGCGCCTAGCTCCTCTCCGCGGTTCGGGAGCGAGCTCTCAGGCTCCTCGTCTTCGTGAGCGGAGGAGCGCGCGGAGGAGCGAGGAGCTGAGGAGCTGGAGGCACAGCTTGGGGCAGACCCAGCCAGCCCGCCAAGGAGGGGGCGGAGAGGACGGGATAGCTGCCTACAGGTTGTTTTGCAAGGCTTTGCTTGGGGTGGGCACTTCTTGAAAGGCACTTCTTGCACATTCACCCAGGCACCTGCTGACAGGGGAGAGGGGGCGGCTGGGGTGTCAGTTCTTTCCCACTACCAGGCCCCTTCCCTTAGAATGTAACCTAGATCAGACTCGACAAGTCAACTGTCTGTCAGTCTTTGGATCCATGGCGGTGATTTTATAGCATTAGGTATCATTCTTAAATCCCCAAAGGTCTGGTTTCCACCCAGCTCTACACTTGGAAGCACAACTCTTCAATCCTGTTTGACATAACCCATCTTGGGAGGGGACATGGGTCTTTAGGTTCACCGGTCCACACTCATCCATGCAGCCAGATTGAGAGTGGGACCAGGTAGCCACGAATGATGCTGAATTTGGTGCTCAACCCTCAGGCCCTGTCTGCCTGACTCCCTCCTAGCCCTCTTGAGGCTGTGAGTTTCCTTTTCATCCAGAAAAGTGATGTTTTGTTTATGGAAAATGGATTTGGATTCCTCTTGAGATCCTCCCTTCCCTCTTGCTGCAGGCCGTGTCCCTGTTTCAGCTTGGCACTGGGACCCAGGGGAGCGGCTCTTGCCCCTCCCCCACCCCCACTTCTGCCTGGAACTGGAGGTGCGGCCTGGGGAGGCTTGCTGGGCTTTTGCAGGTCCTGGGGATAGGAGGTGCTGGAGTAGTCAGAGAAGATGATTCTCATTAGACCCATAATGCCTGGTGGCAATTAATGTCACCCAAGGGCTTATTAACCATCCCACAGAGAGGCAAGCCAGCAATCAGGCTGTGTGTGGGAGAAGGGGAAAGGAGCAACCTCCTGAGGCAGGGAGGGCTCTAGAAAGGGGCTGGAATCAGGGAGTGGTCCTTCCATACCTGCCTGCCTGCCTGCATCATTGGAAGAGACCCCAAACTGCTCATCTTCACAGTTCTTTGCAGCTGCCTGGGAGCCTGAAGGTCCTCAGCTTTAGCCCATTCCCCTGGCCATCTCTGGAAACTGGCAGCGTCTTCTCTGGTCAGGTTGTCCAGTGCCTCTGACATGGGCTTCTCTCTGCTCTGACTCTGTTTCTCCTCCTTCCTCCCTTCTTTTCTTTCACACCAGCACTGAGTATCTCCAGCATCACAGGGATAAGGGCCCAACAGTGAGCAAGAGAGAAGTAACCCTTGCCCCATGAACACCCATTCTAGAGGAGAAGGCTGAACACAGAGCTTATACCCAGAGATGGCTACGACACCTGGTGTTACACACTTTTGCTCATTTTAAGAAGACCGTGTAGGAAGGGCAAGGGAGCCATGACTTCTACCCTGCTCTTGCTGTACCTGCCATGTGGACCTGCCCTTCATGGACTGGGGAACCCTGCAGGGTCAGTGTCTGATCACCCTCTGATCTTCCAAATGCCAGATTTTCCACCTTGTAGATGCAGAGAAGTGAAGGGCTGCCAACAGCCCACCTGGGGAGTAAAAACCCAAACAACCCCAACTCCAGTGCCTGTCACTCTTGGCAGTACACATCCTAGGGCCCAGGGAGAATGCGGTTGGCATAAGGAAGACACAACCAACTGCTCAGTGTTCCAGTCCCACATGTCATTTACCTGGAAAGGGATCATCCATTCCCTCTGCCTTTCCTACCATCCAGTGGGCTGCCCTTAACCTTGCCCCTGAGTCCTCCTAGGCAAGGGGAGGACAGTGGAGCAATATCAGGGAGAGCCAAGACTTGAGAAGAGAGCTGGCATGTGTGCATGTTTCCGTTCCAGTGAGCACATTACCAACTCAAGGTGGTATTATCTCCTTTCCAGGTGGGAGCTGTGTGTTTCTAGGTAAGGGGTTGGCAAGGGAGCCATCTCAGTTTCCAGCTCTTACATGATGTTGGGAGCAGCCTTAGCTTCCTGCCAAATAGAATGGCAGTGAGTGGGTGCTACATCAGGCCCCAGTGACACTCGGATGCACACCAAGGACCCATCTAGAAACAAGCACCCCTCTTCTTCCTAACTAGCCCAGGTGTCACTTGCCCTTTAGTATGCCCCTAGGTTTTAGGGTGTCTGCCAGCAGCAGAAGACAAGTGTCATGAAGAGCACCTTCCTGAGATCACCCAGGATTCCTAGTCTGTCCAGGAAATCCAGGAGGGCTCCAGATTTCCTAAACTAGCCTTCTCACTTTACAGCCACCAAAAAATTTGAGGCTTGTTAATTCAGTCATTTTATTAAATACTGTGAGTTTTTATTGAGCTCTAATTATGTGTGGAGTGGAGTGTGAGGTACTAGAATGCACAGGTTGAACGAGACAGATGAGACCCAGATGGCAGAAGCTCAAGAGCTTCCACAAAGCCATATTGAGAAGCTAGTAACACTAATAGCTAACATTAATGAGTAGTTTTCTGTGCCAGGCACTGTGCTATGCATTTTGCATACATTCTTTGGGTTCTCACCACAATCCTGTTAATAGCTGTTATAATTATTACCATTTCTGACTGAGAAAACCTAGACTCGGAGAAAGTAAGTTTCTTGCCTAGGGTCAGCTAGAAAGTAGCAGTACCATAACTTGGAATAGCATTTATGTGATTCCAGAGCTCACTTATGTAACCCACTTAAACACTTCTACCATGATGTGTGAAGGCTCAGGATTATGTAGGTGACAACACTACCATCTCTTGCTGGACATGCTTCGGGGCTTCGGACATGAACAGGCCATTCAACCCAGGGAAGGTGGTGCAGCTCAGGAGGCCAGCACAGGTCTTCAGGAGCAGGGAGCCTCTGACCACAGGGTAGTGTTCTCCTCTGCACCTCTCTCTTGAGGGACTCAGTCTCTCACCTCCCCTTCCCCAGCATCCAGATGCATATCTATATGTGATAGGAGCTACATCCAGCTTGACACAGCTGCATACACATGTGGCTGTAGTAACTGTTACCAGCCTCTGTCCCACAGCTGGATAGCTGTGTCTCCCTCTGCAGGTTGGGCTCCCAGCTCAGATTCTAAGACCCTGCTTGATCTACAGGTAAGGAGAATATTAGTGGAAGGCCAGCTTGTGGATTTCCCAGGTAGAGACCCGGCTCTAGTTCCTGTAAGGCAAGGTGACTGGACTGATCTGCACAGGCTACCATAACCACCCACCACAGACTGGGTAACTTAACAATGAGAGTTTATTTCCCACTGGTCTGGAGGCTGGAAGTCCACAATCAAGGTGCCAGTAGGTCTGGTTTCCCCAAGGCTGCTTTCCTTGGCTGGCAGGTGGTTGCCCTCCTGTTGTGTGTGCGCAGTGTCATTTCTCTGGGCTCATGAATTCCTGGTGTCTCTTCTTCTTTTCATAAGAACCCCAGTTGTAATGGATTCAGGTCCCATGCTGATGGCTCCATCTCAATGCAATGACCTCTTTAAAGACATTTCAAATATGCTTAATATTCTGAGTTACTGAGTGTTGGGACTTCCATATGTCCACTTTAGGGGGACACAATTTAGCCCATAACAGTGACTATAATTTACCATCCAAAACTGGGATTTTTTTTTTGAGAGTAAAAAAGGCTGCTGTTCATAATTACCTTGGACAGCTGCCTTAAGTGGGTATTTTGGGGAGCACAGCCACCTGACATTCACACCCTGTCACTCACTCTGCAGCCCTACTTTAAACCACCTTGTCTATCTCAAGATCTGAGCTCTTGACCTTCTGCTGCTCAGTTTCTCCCTTCACCCTAAGCACCTAGTCATCAATGCACAGTTTATTCCCTGCCCTCATCCCCACCAGATGCTCAGAGATGGCAGAGGCAGGAAGGCAGACCTACAGGACTGTGTTGCATGGTGGCCAGGAGTTCTGTGCAGAGGAAAACATGACGACTGGGGCTTCTGGTCAGCCTAGGTCATGGGTGGTAGCTGGACCTGGGAGACTTCCTGGAGGAGGTGACTTCTGAGCTCCGTTGGAGGGGTAAGTTGGCATAGGCCTGGGAAGTGACATGAAGAGCTGCTTTTCATAAGAAGGGTGGGTGTACCAGAGACTATGATTGTGTCCACCTAGCTGGGCCCTGAGAGTGGGTTGGAGCTAGTGAAGGAGGCTGGAGAGGCCACTGTCCCCTGAACAGAGTCCCCCAGGTCTATGCCAGTGATGACGTGCACACTGGGGTCACTGTACTTACTCATGCAGAGCTTCACATGCAAGAGGCAAAGACACCAGGAAGCTTACAAAGTACCTTGGCCGTCAGTCATATGCAGCACACACGCACACATGCATTCACACACGCACGCACGTACACCGACTGTAAAATGAGTTCCCTCTGAACCACCTGGTAAGAGGTCTTTTTACTTTCCTTTCCTTAGAATCTCCACCTTAGGCTCCTTTTCAGACGGCACACTCCTGCTGGTCCTTCTTGCCCGTGCCAT